TAGTATCTTAGATAAACAGTAGGTTTATCTAAGGTATTCTAATCTAATCTAATCTAGATAATAAGCAATAATCGGGGTATATTAGAAGTTCATATAATTTTCACTAATTTACAAAGAGCAGTAAATTAATGGATTAAGATAAGCCTTTTGAATGTTACGAGGCAAGAATATTTTATTTCTATCTTTGATAATTTTTTTCAGACTTTGATGAAGGAGAATCTTTAAAGAATCTCTTTATGGCAGAAGCAAAAATTTTTAAGAACAACTTCCCCCAGGTTCTCATGGTGCATGCTGCATCTGCAATTGCATCAAACTATGAGCTGGTTGTTCAAGAGTTTGATGGTTGCTCTATACCTGTACTCAAGGGTTGCCCTGTATCAGGAAAAACCACAGCCATGAAAGCTGCCCTGAGTGTTTTGGGGAAAAAAAATGACTGCATCAGTGGTAAGTTCAAATCAAAGTAGATATGTAATAGAACCTCTCCTATATCATGCATATAAAAGAAATTTGAACTGATGAGTGAAAAAAGTTACGCGATACCTATTTTATTAATTTTATGATTATTAATCAGTAGTATCAGTGTTACAGTGCCAAAAAGCACTATGAATCTATGGTATGTTATTTTCAGTTTTTTTTTTCCTCTTACCCATTTTTATCATATTGATGAAAAGCAGTAAGTGTTGCTGCATTTGCTTTTATTCTGTTTGGGTCATTACTTTCAGAGGCTACATCGAAATTCATTGAGACCAAGCAAGGAATCTCTACCATCCCTTTTGGATGGGATGATTGCTCTTGTGTTAAGACACTAAAAAACATGGCGGTGAATTCATACAATGCGGTAAATATGCTGAAGCCTGTATAGCATAGGAGTTAACAGATAAATATATACATATATACCATTTTTCCAAAAGTCTGAGAATCAACTGTAGATATATTGATACAGTATAGGGTTTTTAAACAACACATGATTCTCTGTGACTCAAATTATCGTGTTTGTACACTTGTTGTAAAGATACAAGCTTAAATCTGCCTCACAAGTACATGAACAGAATTTTCTGATTCATAGACAATCATGCGTTGCCTTGTGTAATCACATTAAGCTCAACATAGGTGTATTGAGAGCTTTTAACAGTATTGTTAACCAATTACCATGATTAGGTCTATAGACATGTACGGTAAAACTGAATTTTGGCAGTCAAGTCTTGGTTTTTTGTTTCATGATTCCATTTATTCATACAGATAAATGATACCCACAAACAAAGAATTTTGTCGAGTTGACATAAATAAAACTTTGAATCTTATATTTATTTCATGGATTCATAGGATAACATTCAGTTTTTATTTTTCCTTAGTGTGGGAGTGCAAATGTAAGGAAAACCTACATTCCACGTACAGTTCCACTGGTCACCACCAATCTTGATTTAGGAGATTTGAAGTAAGTTGTAAATTTTTTCAACTCTATTAATCTAATAAATTCTAGCTTAAATGTTAAAGTTGAAACAACTAAACACACGATTTCCTCTAACTCTGAGTTTTGCGCTAGTTCGCTCTACACTCATGTGTATCAAGAACTTTTCAACAGTATTCGCGCATCTGATGCTGAACTTTTTCAAAACATGCACACGTTTCTATGTTTTTCAATGTACTTTGGAAAATGGCTTTGCATGAAATTTTGTCAACTGATTAAATCACAACATGCCATTTGTGTTGACATTTTTTTAATAATTCCAAGCCTTGTTTTTTTATTTAGTCATTTTACAAAATTTCATGCAAATTCATTTTCCAAAGTAGAGTGAAAAACCTAGAAACATGTGCATCTTTTGAAAACCTCCAGCATTAGTGTTTTGTTGATTAAATATAAAAAAATGTAATGTTTGTAAAGATAGCTAACTTCCCCATCATACGCATTTAAGGATTTGTTAGATTATTTCCTTTCTTACTTTGCTAATTTATTAATAAATGCTATAGATATAAAAGCAGATGGCTTAGGATTATCTTCGAAGACCCTAACCCTAAGCTAGCTGGCATGGATCGCCATTCTGCAGAGAGAGGACTGAGGGAAGCCATGAAGACAGCACATAAAAGTGTGCGCGTCGTAACCATTAACACTTCAAACTACATTTACAATCGCATGCAAGATGAAGATTTTGCATCCATAGTTGCAAAGCTGGAAGATGACTTTCCAGATTTGGATCAGAGGGCAAGTGCTTCCTATTCCCTCTTGTTGTATGTCACTAAAAAGGTAAATAAAAAATAATTTTGTAATACACTTGAATCTCTATTAATCTTAACGCCTTGGGAAACTGAAAAAGTTTCTGCTATTTTAGGTTTCCCTGAACCCTGAATGGAAATGATTCTTGAAATAGACAATTAA